TTATTAAAAGCTGAAAATTAATTTTTTTTCTTTTTAAATAATTTTCTTAGAATTTATTTTGTATTTATTTGTTCTTTGTTCTTAGCATGCAATTAATGACCTTTTTTCTTTTTTTTGTAAATTTAATTAGTTTAAGTATTTTCTCTTGTGTTACAATTTTTAATATTTTTAATTTAATTTTTATTTTCGCGCATTTTGTATATTTTTTTATTAAAATTAATTTAATTTTTCTTTAATTTAAGGAACAAAAACATTTATTTTTTATTATTATTTTCCAACAATTATTTTTTAAAAAAATTTTGTGTGAAAGTGGAAAATAAAGAAAATTATTTGGATATTTAAATTTTTCAACAATTTTTTCAATCAAAAAATAAAATAAAATGATGGATTCCGCCAGTCAATTACTTTTATCAGCTTCCCCACTACAATTACATGCTGCCATTTCTGTTGCTGCAGCACAAGCAGCAGCAGCTGAAGAACAACAACAACAATCTTCTTTGGCTACAGCAGCAGCTACAGCAAAAAATACGGAAATTAAAATTGAAGAACCAGCGGGGGAGGGAAATGGGGGAGAAGAAGCAGCAATGCCTAATTGTTGGTTTTTTAGGGATTAAATAAAATATTTATTTTGTTGATCCAAATATTAATAATTTTTATGGATATTTTTTTACTTAGCCTAAAAAAATAAATTTTTATCCGTTCTCTTGACTATAATTTTTTATAAAATTAACAATTTTTTAAATTTAAGCTTCTGCTGCCCAAAGTCCCCGTCAAACCAACAATGCTCTCGAAGCAGCTTTCAATCTTAATTTTTTGTTAAAAATGGAAACAGATTCTGACGATAAACTTGCACCTTTGGAGATTAGTGAAAGTATGTCTTCATTGAATGGTTCTTTGCAGACAAGTCCCACAATAATTACTTGCAAAAGTAAATTTTAATTGGATATTTGATTGTCTATGTTGTCCCTAAGATTTCTTTCCAATTCTCAAACTCCATTCCTTTTTATTCACTTTTTCCAATTTGCAGCCCCTCCAGCAAATGGAAAGTCAATGTTGCAAGTTATAAAACCTCCTGGAGATGAAAAAGAAGAAAGACCGTCATTAAGTTACAAAGATTTAATTATCGAAGCTATTGAAAGTAATCCGGATAGAAGATTGAAATTAAGTGAAATCTACCAAGTAATTAAATATCTACATCCGTATTATCAAAGAAGAGCCGATCAGTGGGGATGGCAAAATTCTATTAGACATAACCTTTCTTTACATGATTGTTTTGTTAAATTGCCATTAAAACAGACTAGTGCTAATGGGGTTGTTGGTAAGTTATTTGTATTTATTTAAATTTTGGAAAGGGATATGACCCAATTCCTTTCGATTATAAAATTAATTTTAAAAAATTCTTTTTAGGTCATTTCTGGACTGTAGTTCATCGTAACCCTGAAGACAAACAAGGGCCAACAAGGAGACGTTCTCGTGCAAATGGCACAGGTGGTGGACCTACTGGAAAAGGGTCTAGAAAAGTAGGAGGAAATCAAGGTCATCCAGCATCTCAAGTTGGAAATGCTGCTGGAGGGAAGGCAAAAGGATTGAAAGGAAGGCAAAGTGTTAGGTAAGATTTAATTAAAAATTAAAAATTAAAAAAATTTAATTAAAAATTTTCTAGCCTTTCCCACCTCTTCAGCTCTGATAGCGGTGTTATGAGTGACGATTGTGGTGGTGGTACACAATCTGGAGATATTAGTCCAACTAATGGTAGCGCCTCAGTTCCGGCTTCTTTACTGCAAATTAATACCTCTTCTGATTTATTGACTCAAACAAACAAATTTCAAGTAAAAATTTTTATTCCTTTTTTAAAAAATATTGAAAATTTTTTAGCCTCTTCAATCCCCTCTGGCTTCAAATAGCCTCCAACATTCAGCATTACAATTAGCGTTAAAACAACAAGCTGCTGCTGCTCTTAATTTTAATAATAATGGAATGAATTTGAATCAAAATAATGTAAATAATTTCTTTCCCGAAAATAATAATTATTATAATCTTTTTAGCTTCTTTCCCCTCTCGAACTTGTTTTGGGAAGTCAAGCTGTAGCTCAGCATTTACTTGCAGCCCAAACACCTCAACATCACCAACAACAACAATTATTACAATTTTCTCCAATTCCTGGCAAAACAGCCCCTTCACAACCAGCATTATTAGAACAACATTTACAACAATTATTAGCTATTGCTGCTGGAGCACAACAGGATCAATTACTAACTCAGCCAGAAACGCCCGCATCTGCTCCTCCTTCCTTACCTGTAATATTTCTTTCAATTTAAAAAATAATAATTTTTATTTTTTAAAGGCCAATCCATTAGCACCAACAACTTCTAATTCAACATTAGCTACAACACCAACAACAAATGGAGGAGGGTTAAATCTGCTCAGTCAATTAGCTAGCCAGTAATTTTTTTCTCTTTCAGTTCTTAATTTAAAAAATTTATTTTAATAGGGCATTAGCTTCTACAAGTCCACAACCTACACAACAACCTCAACAACAACAAGATCAAGCTTCATTAGCAGTTGCAGCAGCTGCTGCAGCAGAGTTACAACGTATTCAGTTGGTTCAGTTATATGCACAACAACAACAGGTACTAAATTATTTTTAAATAAAATATTCTTGAATGAAGACAAAAATATTTTATTCAAAAACACCTTCAGTCAAAATTCCCTCTAGACTTGTAAACCAAAATACCCTCACTGTGAACTCACTGATTTCATAGCTCCGAAAAATACAAAGCTTATTTTAAATCATAAGGAGATCTGTCTGTAAAGGTTTCCCAAAAATGATACCTACTATACAAACAAATCACTTTAAAGACAAATCACCTTATAACCAAAATTTCCTTATAAATATTTATACACATTTTAATTAAATTATATTTAAAGTTACAACAACAATTAGCCCTTTTGGAGCACACCCACAGAGAACATTTAAATCTTCGTTTACTCGGTGGACATCGTCATAATGATTTTCCTCATGGCCATTCTGCACCTCTTAGTCCAGTTGTTCACGATCCATTAACAACAACTTTAAATCGAAACAATCCTTTACTTCTTAATTTGGCAGCAACAACGGCCCCTTCTTCTCCATCAGTTTTGGCAAACGAAAATGGGAGGAATAATTCAAATAATAATCAGTCAATGTTAACACAATTATTATTATCAAGATTATTTTCTTCTGCCGCTTCTACAAATAATAATAATGAAAATAATAATTCAACAAATGTTGAACAAGTAAATACAGAAAAAATAATTATCTTTAAAATAAATTTTTTTATTATTTTTAGCAACCAACAACCAATTTACCTGACAATTCCCCACCCCCACCATCATCAGTCCCCGCTGTTGCACACTCTCCAGTTGCTGAAAGTGTTAATCAACAACAAGTAAACTTTAAATAATTTTTTCTGAAAATTTTATTTATTTTCTTTTTTAGGTTGAATTACAACAAGCAGCTTTATTGCTTGAACGTTATCAACAGCAACAACAACAACTTTTGTTAATTGACCAATTCCAACAACAACAGCAACAATTAGCAGAAGTTGGACAACTCCAAGCGCTTACTCAAGTATTTGGTACTGCAGCAGCTGCTGCCGCCGCGGCTGCCGCTGTTGTTGAACAAGTCCAAGAAGCACAACAACAAATTGCTGAGCAACAAATTGTTGAACAACAAGAAAGTGAGGAAGTTGTTTCTGTTGTTGTTTGAGAGTTTTTAAAAAATAAGACAAAATCCTCAATTTTTCTTTACCTCTTTTTAAAAAAAGGATTATTGAAAGTATTTTTGTTTTGTGAATATTTCCCTAAAGACTTTCAATCATCCTTTTTTAATTAATTAAAATAGACTAAGTAAGAGAGAGATATGCTGCCACCAAAATTTCAACCATTTTATTCTTTCTTATTTTCTTTTATTGTCATTCTTAAATTTATGTTAAATATATCTACCTCGATTATTATAAAAAAACTGAAAATGATCCCTTTATTTCCCCCTCCTTCTCTTTTTAATCATCGACAAGAATTATTGCTACAAAAGTTACTGACTTTTTTCTATTCCAATCAAAAAGAAATTATACTTATTTTTGGAATTTTTTTAAAATTAAATTACCTAGCTTTTTTGTATTAGATTTTTACCTATTTTTAATTTTTCTTTAGCATTTAAATATTGTTATAATTTTCTGTTGAAATTTGTTGGGGAAATTGTGTATTTTATTGTTTTCCCAACAAATCTAAACAAACCACAGTCTATCCCCGGTGGATTAAAGATTCGAATTAATTACATTTTTTGTTACTTTTTTAAAATTTCTTTTGTAAATATTCATCAATTTTTTTCTTCAATTTTGTGTTTATTTAGATAAGTGTGCTTGAGCAATTTTAAAATCATTTTCATTATACAATCCATTACAAAAAAATGCGAGTAGATTTTACCCTTTTTTAAATTCTCTCCTTATAAACCTCTACACTAATTGTGTTGTAATTATGAGATAAAACAACTTTGTATATAAAATACCCCCTTCTATACACTCTAAATCCTCATTTTATAGTTTAACTTATAGAGCTATTTATTTTGTTTAGTTGAAAGAAAGAGAACTTTAAATATTCCGGAATCTGTCTGACCTTCCGGAAAAGTTTCTGTGACTACTCAAATATCCATTAAAAGTTCTCTTCTCTTTTATATATTTCTATTTACCACTTCCTTTTAAAAAATATGCGGTAACAAATTTGTGTCAATCACTGAAGCGAATTATAGAAACGGGAAACGATCTATATTAATCTTCTTCTAAAATTGAATTTTATATAAATATAGAAAATTTTGCAGTATCATTTTGTTTTTACATTTTTTATATTTCATTTTTATCCTTTTAATGAATAAACTTTTTGTGTGAGATTTTGATATTTTTAACTTGGGAAATTTTTATTGGATGTATCAGGGGTGTGCCGAAACAGATTTTAAAAAGCGAACGGCGAAAGACGAAACTCAAAAAAAGGCGAAAGGCGAAGCTGGCACATCCCTGGTGTGTATGTATCAGAATGTGGTTAAGAAGACATGGCATCTTCGAAATCCACTTCGAAAAAGTGTCACGAAATAATAGCCAAAATTTTATAAACTTTTATATAAAAACAAAAAAAATAATTTAAAAAGATAGGTAAAGTAACAAACAATCACCAATATCTAAATGCGCAAAGTGCTAGTGTAGCAGGCGCTGGCAACGAAGTTAATTTAAGAGGGTATTTTTTGCCAGTAGCCTTTCCTCGAACATTTTCTTCTTAAAATTAAAAAAGTACTTTTTATAATTCAATATTTATTTACCCAATATTTCATCCTCGTCGTTATCACTTGAAGATGAGGAAGAGGAAGATAACAAATCGGCAATCTCGTTATTGTTGTTACTTTCCACATCTGTATCTTCACTTTCAGAGATTGTCACGTTTTTGTGTTTATTTAGATGTGCAAAAGTAAATGGACCAGCAGGTTCAGAAGGTGCTGAACGGACAACATTTTCCGGCTGAAAAAGTAAATATTTTCCAATAATTAAAAAAAACACAAAATCCTACATCAACATTATGGAAAAAGCATCGTTGAAATAAATAATTCTTTTCAGCTTCCTCTTTATCAATAACTTTGTTATCACGTTCTCGTGCTCTTGTAAGCTAAAATAGATTTTTATCGTATTTATTCTAAAATAACCCGAGGGGTTGTTTTTTCGATCGGCTTCTAGAGGGGAGCTATTTTAGAGGAAATACTTTAATTTAATTTATTTATTCAAAAAACTTACTTTATAACATAATTTAAATAAAGGTATATTGTCGTTGTTATTATTATTTGATTTATCTAAAGAAATTGTGTAGCGAAAACGTAAAGATTGAAATTGTTGTTGGCTATGAAACATACAACGGCCAAATTGTAATAAATCAGTTTTTATTCTATTAAAACTAAAAAAAATATTTTTAATTAAATAATTAGAAAAAGAGAAAGTTTTATAGACGATTCTTAAACTAAAATTAAAAAAAGAGCTTTTAGTAATTCCAAAAATATTTTTAAAAAATCCTAACTACCAACTTTGCTCTTTCAAAAAACATAGATTCAATCATTTGAAAAACAAAAAATAATAAATGATCAGTTTCAGAAACAGAAAGTGCCAAATGTCTCAAAAGTTTAGCAAAAGTTTTAGAAAATTGTTTTTCTGTTGAAAGTAAAGACATCGAAAAATAATTAATTTTTAATTATATTTAAATAATTTTTTAACTACTTTCATTGATTTTGTTGCAAGTAAAGGTGATATAGGTAATGAATTAATACGAATAGCTCCTTGATGAAATGTGTTTTTAAGGCCTCTATCGTCGAAATCAGGAATAACAACTGCAATATTTTTGTGATATCCAGGAGGGTAACGCTAAAACAAAAATATTTTTATAATTAAAATAAAGAAAATTTATTAAAGTCTTGAAAGGAAGATCGTGGGATTTAATGGACAGACTACAGCCTCAACAGCACGCCTTACTAATTGTAAGTATTAACATATCTCCTCTCTTATCCTACCTAGGTCTTGACGTCTTATCAAAATTTGACACGAATATAAAAATTGCAAGATTTTTTAAGGGTCAGACTTTTAGTATAAATTAAATAATCCAAAAAATTAAACTCTGCCTTATAAGCATTTGCACACGGAAACATTTTTAAAATTATATTCCGAGCCTGAGATTCATTAGAAGAGGAAGGAGATGAATTGTCAGGCGAAGATAATTCCAAATCCAAACTTGAATCATAAAATTTATGGAAAAATATTTCTTTTTTATTTTTGTCAATTCCAGATATTTTTACATTTTCATTTTGAATATTAGAATTTTTAGATGATTGATATTGAAGAGGGGCTGACAAAATATTAAAAAAATTTATCAAACATATTTAATATTTCTTACTAAATAATGCTTCTTTTGACATACTCAAATTCGTATTATCTGCAGACAATAAAGGTTTTGAAGGTGCTGGTGATAAATAAGCTGGAAATAAATTTTCAAAAATATATGGTTGAGATTGTATACGGACCTGAATAAAAAAATTTTAAAATTATGAATGTTTTCGAAAATTGGGAAGGGAAGATTTTTAATCAAATGACATAAATTATGAAGATTTCTGTTTGATTCATAAATTACAAACTAACAGTATTAGGTATGCACCCTAAAAATGGGTTTAATCTGCTCCACGAAACAATCCTCATTCCCAGATGTGGTCGGCGAAAAAGACTAACTAATAATGATTCTTGAACACTGCTTCGTTCAAATTGATCACAATAGAAACTAAAAACAAAAAATTTCCAAATTATTTTTAAATAATTGACCAACTCATTATTCAACACAATTTTTGGAGCAGTTCCTTGCCAACAATGTGTACGCATCTCCAACTGAGTTAACCATTCACCAAAATTAAAATAATCAATTTCCTCATTCATTTCTTCATCTTCTATTAATTGTTGCTGTTTTAGTTTTAAATTATATTCTCTCTGATCGTCAAGTCCAAAAAATAATTTTAAAGCAAAAAGAATAAGTGCAGCTGCTTTTACTTCTGTGGGTAATGGAACGCTATATAAAAAACATTTAATTTTGTCCGATTTTTTTCAAAAAATAGGCAACTAACTCATAAAAATATTTTCTTTCCATGTTGGTAATAAATAAAATTAAAAAAAAACTCACAAATGCCAATGACTTCCATATCGAAGAAGAGGATTAATATATCTATTATTTAATGTTCCCTCAACTTTTTCCCAACATTTTTGACTTTTGTTAGCGAGAAATGCTCGTTGAAAAAATGAAACAAATCCAAATCCAGAATTGTTAGTACGTGAACGTGAAGTTAAACATAAAAGATGTTGACGAAGTCTAAAAAATGAAAATAAATTTTTTATTTTTCTAGAATATAAAATAGAAAAAGTGTATTTTTGCTGAACAATAAATTTTGAAAATTATTTTGAAATTTTTATTATAAATTTTCACCAACCCTCCATCAATCGGCTGCACATAGGAAAAACGTTCTGAACCATAATCAACATTAACAGGTGGCAAAAAATTTAAAATTGTCATTAAATGTTTGTTAAAAGCAAGAGGTAAATTTAAATTATAAACAAAACGAGATAAAACCTTTAAAAAATAATTTTAATTAACCCAAAAAATTTTTTAACTTTTTGGAAATCCGTTGTTTGAATAGAACGAGGAATATTAGCAAATTGTGTAAGAAAAGAAAGAACACGTAAAGACTCACTGACAGGTTGAATCTTAAAATTAAAATTCTGTCACTTTATTTTACAAAAAATAACCCCCAAATAGGGCACATTATATTTGCTTCTAACATAAAAACGTCGATCAACATTGAGACTTGACACTAATTCTTTTGAAGGTGGTATGTCTTCCTCACTCCACGAAGTAGAAAAATTTAAGGCGAGAAGTTGTGAACGAGAAATATTGAATCTTCCTTCTCGATACCAACTTTTTGAATATTAAATATATTTACAAAATAATAAAAATAATTTTACCGAAAAATATCAGAAATCAAAACCCAATTACAACCAGATAAATGTACAGCCAAATATAGAATACAAAAAAGTAAATCTATACCCAAATAGATATGAGCTGCCTAGAAAAGAGAGAGAAATAATTTTTTTAGTCTAAAAACATAAATTAATTTGCTTACAATTAGCTAGCCTAAGCAATAAGGTTGTCAGATAGTTGGAAATCTTCGGATATCCGGATCCTATGTCCGAACCAAAATTTTCGGATATCCGGCCTTTTTTAAATTCATATGCGACAACCTTACTAATCAAGGATAAGTTATCATTACTGAACCCCAATTTAAATTTAAAAAAAAATTCAAACCATATTTACAGCATCAACAGACAGACTAGTTTTAATTCTTTCTACAAACTGGACTTCCTCTAATGTTGCAGCTATTTCAGCCTCTTCCTCTTCTAATACTTTCTTTAAAGCTTCATCTGTTGAGGTTAAATCCATCCAAGCATCTGATTTCTCTTTCTTGTCTTTTTGTAAAAGTTTTCTTAAATTAGCTGCTCGTAGTCGATTTTGTCTTAATTTACTTTCAATTTCCCTAAAAATATCAAGTAAATTTTTCTTTAAAAAATAAATATATTTACGGCTTTCTATGCTTAACAAGAGGACAAAATGATTTTGCTGGATCATCAGTTGTTTCCTCTTCACAAAATGCAATGCCTGCACGACGTAAATAAGTGTAAAAAATAAATTTTGAGTTCTCCTAAAAAATTATAAAAAAATAATGTAACTAGGTAATTAATAAAAATTTTAATTTTATTTACAATAGAATTAACCAACCAAGCATTTTTCTGGAACATTAAATTCATTAACCAAAACAAAAGAACATTTAGCTAAAATCTTCGTTGCTGTACATAATCTTATGCCTAATTGATCAAGCCAAAAAGGAAAATCTTCTTCAGGAATTGCACGTTCAGTAATAAAAGGATCTAGTATTTTTATGAAATATTTGTTAGATTGTTTTAAATAATCAACCTTCACGAATCTTTTTTAATCTCTAAAAATTTAAATTGAAAAAATTAGAAAGAATTGATCCGAACCTCACGCTTGTTTAGTTCATTATCTCGATCTTTTTTAGGTCTATTTATTCTTGCCCCTTGCTGGCCATATGCACCAAATTCTTGTTCAGTTTCACGACCCTTTAAAAAATATTTTCTAATAAATTATAACGGTAAATATTAATCAGATAGGCAAAATTTACAAAAGAAATCAAAACGTATCCGTAACAAAATTCAATTAGAACCTCTTGTTGTGCACCACAATCTGCACAAAAATAGTAACCAGCATCTAATACAACTTGACCAGAACCACAAACGGTACACTCGGACGGATCAGGCATTAAATATTTTCAAATAAATTAAAGACTAGTTAAATTCTTTTAATTATAATTTTAATAAGTTAACAAATATAATTATCAAATAAAATTAAAAAATAACTAAAATCTTTTAATTTAATAAATTCAAAATTATATGTAAGCAACATCAAAAAATAAATGATGGTCAAGTCTTTAAATAAAGATATTCAAATAAATTGAAAGTCAACAATTTTGATAAAATTGAAAATCGGTAAAAGTAAATCATTTAAAATAGTGAGAATGTAAAAGGCATGTAAATACATTCCTAAAAATGATTTCTCAAATTGATTTTCACAAATAAAATTTTTAAGGGCACAAAAACTTTTTTAAGAAAAAATGAAATTGTCCATTATAAAAAACAGAAATTTTTATTTTAGATTGCGGGTAAGAATTAAAATTTTTAAAAATATTTCCTCGTGAAAAATAGTCAAATTTAACTTTTATAGCGCTCCATTTATATCTTATTCTTTCTAACGTCGATTCAATCCAATTCCACGTCCTCGTCGAGCCATTGGTCGGAGACGTGCAGCTAAAACTTCGTGAGCATTGTTGGCAGCAGCAGAAGTATGAGAAGCAGCTGCTCTACGATGGTGACTTCGATCAGTAGCTTGACTTGAAGAAGGAGCAGTCTAAAAAAGTAAGAATTTTAGGTGAAAAATATTGAACGGGTCCATTCCAAAGCAATCATTAATAGCGAAAACTAAAAAACCTGATCAACATCCATGGACTCTTCTTTTGTAGTTCCCGATTTTTTAGCAGCAGCTTTTTCATTTTGATCGATGTGTTTCTGCTTGCGAATAAACATTTGTAGAGTCTCTTGTGACAGTCCTTCCAAAAACTTTTCATCCATTTTTCTTGGGTCCAACTTTTGCATTATAACAGACTGAAAAATATTTTGTTTTGTCTATAAAAAAACTAAAAAACCTTCAGTTGAAAAAGTCCGTATTGGTCTGCCAATCTAAGCCGTTCCCCAAGAGCCATTTCAGCCTCGACAGCCACCAATAAACGCTGCTCGCAAATCGCAGTAACCATTGGAACGAAGTACATTCGAGCAAATTCGAGTAAACCACGAACATATTTAACTAAATTATTTAATTATTAAACTAAAATTAATGACAGTTTAATGAAAAAATAACTTTGTGGCCGATGGCGCGAAGGATAAACAATTGAAAGGAATTCATTAAAAACACCGTGTTCAACAGAACGAAGTTCAACCTCACCGGAAGCACCTTCTATAAAACCCGTATTATGAAAGAGAGATTGAAGAGCGTCAGAATGCATTGAAAGAAAC